GAACCCCTGTATTATAGTATATAGAGTTGGAATAAAACATTCATAAAAACTGAAGGAAGCAACAAAAACCCGAATCCTTTTAGGACGTTTACTAGGGCACTATGTAGTGTGTGTGGGCAAAGTTTCATTGAAATCGCCAGGGAACATATAGGAAGGTTCCCTCGTTAGAAATTACTTGAAGAGCTTCGTCATAGTAAGTGGATTCTACCTGGTATAAATCAGCCTATGATCCTCTATCACGTTCCATAAGAATATCCTTTCAAAACGAAAAAATTTTTTTCTCGAAAAATTCCCGTACTTCCTGTCCAGGTCTTTTGATGGAGAATCTTTTTCTATAAAATTCCTGTACTCCCTACGGGAATTTTTTGAAAAATTTTTTTTTTTTCATTTTCAAAGGATATTTTTATGGAGAACGATAGAGCATCACATGCTGATTTACGCTAGGAGAAATTTATCTGATTTGATGTAGCTCTGCGAGTAATTTGTAAGCGAACTTGGGTACGTTTCTTGTAGAATATGGTTCATTTTTTTTTGTGTTTTTCAGTAAGTCTCTTAGGACCATCCTTTGAGATCCCACCCCAATCGTTATGTAACTATGTAGTAAAGCTCTCGACACATTAGAAGACTCGGTGTCTTCTATTGTGCATTATCATTCGCAAGTTACAAGAGGCCTTCTATTATGTCCTTAAAAAAAGTCAAATTTTTTTGTGATCTCTACGAGAAATTCTAATTTCAACACTTTTTTGTCCAATACACCGTTAGTAAACGAGTTTATTTTGCTTACCTCATGCTCGTACAATGGAAGAGAAGCAGATAGTGTTTTAATGCAAAAAAAAGAGAAAACAATCGTTGATTGCAAGAATGTCCTTAAAACAATAAACAGAACATATTCTAAAATTTTTGTGCGATTTATAACGGCACTATTTGTTCTAAAGAATACGATCTATCGCTGGTAACATTTATGTTCTATATAACTACACTCTCGGACAAAAGTCTTTCTTCCTCTTTACTTCTGTACTATCATACTTTACATTGTAGGGATGCACCAATTCCAATTCCAATCCTAATTCTTCGCTCGGAATTGGGGGAATTGGTAGGAATTGGAATTGGAATTGGTTGGAATTGACTAGAATTGGCTCCAGTTATCTATAATTCTTATGAAGTACTAGAAATTTGTATGGAATTGGTTTGAAACTGGCTATACTTGGCTTCAACTGGCTACAATTCGTACCCAGATTGAATATTACGACGACCAGATACGGGGTGTGGGTGTGGGTGTGCGGGTAGATATTTGCATCATTCACACCTACACCCACACCCAGCCACACGCACGCCCTATGTTGAAAATTATTAATTTTCATATTGTCCTACTGGAAACTTGTTGCAACTGCATATCAATGTAAGTTTCATCTCTTCGCTTGATGCTGAAGGAAGTTTATCATGATCTATCATGATGTACCGTTCGACGATGCCAACAGTTTCACATCATACACAAATGAGTATCGATGCGTGTTGCTCATTTGGACTATGTTTCGTTTTATGAAGTTTTTTTTCTTGGTTTGCCGTCATTGTTTCTCTGCTCACCAAATTGTGTATTTTACTGTTGCCATGAGCAGTACTTCTCAAAAAAGTACTTGATTGAGAGAAATTTTAAAGCAATTAGTAAAAAAGAGAGAAGAGGAAAAATAAGTAAAGCCTTTTTATGTTCCATTAGTAACACAGGAGCCGCTCGACTAACAAACAACACATTTTGCATATACAACATTCAACAAAATTGGAAACTAATACTAATGAAAGTGTTTGATAAATTTGATTTTGATTTTTGTATCTTGGCAAGTAACTTACGAATATGGTTCCTAAGCAAATTTTCGGGTATTTTTAAATGTCATGAGTATAACCGATGAATAGCTAGAATATTAATTCCAAAGAATCGAGACAGATATGATATGGCAATTAATCACAGACTTTCGGTTGTTTGGACAACTGATGATTTAATCTTAGTCCGAGGTCTATCCAGTGTATTTACCTTGATGTATCGTACACAGTCTCATTGATTTAATGATTCTTTTCTGTAGAATTTTGTGTGCAATTTACATGATTAGCTTTCTGTGTTTGTGTCGTGCTCTATTCAAATTCTTCTCGCGATTGTCGATATTAAGATAAAAGTATCAAAATAATGTAACTGGTAATTTCATAAGATAAGGAATAAAGAGGATGCTTTTATGCTCCGAAAGTTTGCCCATGAAGAAGAATGAGTGAATCGTTAACAGCGAGAGTGAAACATTTGTGTAGGAGTTTCGATGTGGACGTGGCTGAAAAAAAGCTGCGCACACACCCACACCCACACCTCATCCTACACCCACACGCCACACCCCACACTCACACCCCATACCCACACCCCACACTCACACCCTACACCCACACCCCACACTCACACCCCACACCCACACCCCACACCCATACCCCACACTCACCCCCCACCCACACCCAACCCTTCGAAAAGGGTTTAGGACAGTCCTAAACTCTTCACCACATGTTAAAAAGCTCTTTTATTGTTTATTGTCAGTTCCCTAAACCCTTTAAGGGTTTATTAGGTCTCTTAAACCCTTTAAGGGTTTATTAGGTCTTTTAAACCCTTTAAGGGTTTATTTGGTATCCTAAACTCTTTAAGGGTTTATTAAGCCTCCTAAACCCTTAATAAGAGTTTAGTATACGTTGCACTTTCCCAAACCCTTCAGGGTTCAGGAGGGTGATAAGGGTTTAGGAGGTCTAATAAATCTTTAAGGGTTTGGGAAAGTGCAATGTATACTAAACCCTTATGAAGGGTTTAGGAAACTGATAATAAACGATAAAAGAGCTTTTTACATACGGTAAAGGGTTTATGACAGTCCTAAACCCTTTTCGAAGGGT